TTCTCACCTCTGTGTGGGTAATAACAAGCAATAACAAGTTTGTGTTAGCTTAATGCACTACAAGTGCCAAAATCTTTGTGAACCCAGTTAGGACAATTTGTTTAAAAGCAGTACAATCTGATCACCAGGTGATGGAAAGACTTTTTCCTGTGGTTGCCAACACTGATAATAAGAGGATGAAGAGGAAAGATTTAGGGCATGAAAAATAAATCGCTTTTCTTCCCCTCAAAGTAATAATAATAATAACCCCTCCAAGCTAGAAATCAAATTTGAAATACTACATGCAGCATTTTCTATGGTATCATTCAGTTCTGTCTCACAGAACACCTTCTCACTGCTCTTCATTTTCAATCTAATGTAGCAGGTAAGAGTGCAGATACATGGCTTACCATTTTTCATTAAAAAGAAAAAGAATACTTTGAAAGTATTCTTATAAGTTATTCATTTGCAAAGTAATATGTTCCAAATACGTGACTGAAATTTAGAGAAGTAAAGAAAATGAGCAGTATGGACGAGTCAAATGTAACTAAGAATTGGGACCAAGAAGCTAAGATCTTTCTCAGCTCTCTTACCTGAAAAGGACTAAACCAAATAGTTTCTGCCAGTTTTAGCACCTTATAGCTTGTATCTCAGTTGCTTAATCACTAGAAAGTACTGCAGCACCAATTCTTTGCCTCATTTGACCTGAATACAACAAAAATTAAACTGCACCACAGAAAGTAGCCTTTTGGTTAAGAAGTATTTCTACAGAGGTTTCCTACACAGTTACAAATATGCAGAACACAACTTTGGTAATCAAACTTATAGAAAGGCCTCTTGGTTTTAATTGTTTGTTACACATTTTTCACGAAGAAAAACAGTTTGTCTTTTTTGTTCTCTGTCAAGACAATGTTTGAAGACAAGGAATGTCTTTAAACACTGAGATCCAAAAGGGCTTTATTTATAGGCAAATAACAGAGGTTAGAAGTTACAGTTTACTATTTCATCCTAGAGATGCAGAGAAAGCAATAAATGGGCAATGAATAATGGTAACTGATTGAAACTTCATTTAAATTCTATCTGGATTATATAAACTGCAGAAAAGCCTTGACAATTCTTAAACATGAGAAGTGCCACTTCTAAATAAAAACTATAAACATAAATAATAAACATATGATGAAAAAGACTGTAAAAATCAGATAAAGTTTTGGACATAGCTACGGACATTTAAACAAAGCTGAGACTGAAAGATTATAACATTAGGGATGGTACAAGCCATGTAAGATTCTGCAATGTAAGATGAATTTAGGAGAATGTAAATTTAGATGAAGGAACAAGCAATTTTACAGTGATATTCAATCAGAAATGTGATTTGGGAAAAAAAAAAATAACATACATACACTTTTTTTAAGCTAGTTAAAATTGGCAATGAAATGGAGAATATGCTAAAAGAAAAATCCCATGCTGAGAGATAACTGAGAAAGGATACAGTGACAGGATGCTAGATGGGTTTGTTTCTAATATTTGTGATCTCTAAAGCCACTAATGCTTTGTAGAATATATATTAAGGGTTAGGAGACAATACATATGTTGCATGTTCTTCATCTTTTTTCTTAAGGATCAATTGAGCATTACAAATAGCAGATAAATAGTAGAAGTCTTGACTTCTACTTTGCCTTACGATTATTCAGTGTTTGAATGGATTTTAGCAATATTCATATTGGAAGCTTTGTAACTCCAGTTTAAAAACCAACCAACCAACCAAACAGAAACAACAAAAAACAAGCCCTGACCCTTACTAATGTTGCTGTTAGCGGTAGGAATGTAAACCACAAAGTTGCAGATCATATTTTCACTGTCTTAAAACGTACAGAAATGGGTAGAGATTCATGATTTACTAATCACCATCATAACCATTTAGCTGCAAATCAGTTAAATACTGAAAAATACTTTGGGTACTAATACTCACTTTCATTTCACAATCACTTACAGAAAAAACATTTTCACTGAAATTAATAGCCCATATTATGAAACCTATTTAGAATGTTTATTAATATAGTAAACACTTATCCAGAAATATTCTTCTAGAAACTTACCTTATAGTCACAAGTACTGCAACTTTTATCACAAGTCTCAAAATATTTGACTTTTTTTTCTCAATAGATTATGATACTTGAAACCTGAATTTACACAAGAATTTCAAGTTTTAGTTAAAACTAAATGCAAATGAGAAAAACACAAATTAGTTTTACAATTGAGGAGAAACGTGTTGTATCCAACAGCAAGAAACAAATATTTTCCAACACACTAACCAAGTCTCACACTCCCTTACTGACAAGGCAACAGCCATTTATCATTTCAACATGCACAAACAGAACACTGTAACATACCCACAGCTGCATAGTGGCAAAATAGTTAAAAAAGAAAAAAACAAAACAAAACAAAAAAAACATATTCTTTAACAGAGATGCATCACTTGGACACTTAATTTTCAAGAATGCAATTTCCTGTTTTTTGTTTTTTTTTTTTGTTTTTTTTTTTTTTGTTGTTGTTTTTTTTTTTAAGAAACTTACTACTGTAGGCATTGACATGAGATGTAGCCAAACAGAGATTCTGATCAGATTTAAAACCTCCTGAACTTGATTCACACTATCATTTCCATTTCATTTCCTACAGCTGGCCTGAAGAGGAGTAAAGAGCTAATTAGGTTAGAGACTGGAACATTTTCAGCAGGTGGAAGTAGAGAGCAGGAAAAAAAGATGCTTGCTTTTACACAAAGCAGACAGTTTGTGGGTTGATCTTTTCCTCTTTTTGGAATGCAATTTTAACTTTTGCTAAAACCTTTAAGAAAATCTAAAGATTTACGGTGGTTTTACTAGGTTACCTAAGGCCTGTGAAAAATGTAAGAACTATGTCTTATGCCAGAACTATGTTGTCTCCAGTAGGACAACACTACTTAATTCTTAAGTCCCTATTTAAATGCGCATCACATGTTTTCCTATGTGTCTCTCAAATAGCACTAGAGATTAAATCATTACAAAGAGGAAAAAAAAAACACAACACAATGCCACTGTTTCATAGTAAAGTGAGATCCTCTACATGACTACAGTATTGAGTACTTCAGATAAATTTTGGCTTGGTCCTATGTCAATCAGGACCAAGTGCTTTAGAACAGTATAGAAAGCCATTTTACTATGCAGAGGACAAACTTTGTGTAGGACAAGGTACACAATACACCTGGCACAATGTTTTATGATTAAACGTATGAACTAGAGATGCCTTCCACGTATTCCTTACATTGTCACTAACATTACCTGCATTCCTAAATTACATTATATTTTGCATATATCTATCTTTACTGTCTCCCTTGGCTGGCCGGTTATCTCAATTAAATTGTTTGGCTGGCAAACCACCATTTAAATGACAGCTTTCTTAGTCATACTTCAAAGACAATCCTTAGAAAACTGTTCAAAGTTAATTAAATTTTTCAAATATTAATAGTTCCCTTAGCTACAACACAGATTTGCTTCTTTGTTAGTAGCTAATGAAAAATACTGGAAAATATTTGCATCCTCAAAACACTGTGTTCTCTTATCCTTCCCTCAATTGCTGAGATCAATTCTACAGTATGTACATGTATGTGTCTATGGAATACCGATAAAGCCCAAATAATTCACCCTATTTTTAACTGCTTTCTTTTGTCAACAGACTTCGATAATCATTCCAATTCTTTCCAATTCTTAGACTTCAAGGAGATGGTATAAAAAATGCTGTAACTCTGATCTTATGGATATTTATGAATTTCAAATTATAGGGACCAGATCCTGCACCACCGTGAATCAGGAGTATTAGGCATGGATTTTAAGATAAAAATAAACATTCAGATCAGACATTCTGGTCCAGATTAATGTTATTTCTTTGCAATTTCATTAGAACTTCATTGAAATAATGTAAATGGAACACTCAAAACAATACGATAATCAGGTCCCTTTTTTTTTTTTTTTTTTTAAATCTCCTTCTCCAGTTGAAGGAATTCATTTATAATATTGGAACAAAAAAATAAATATTTTACACAATTCATGTCTAGTCTTCATTTCCTAATGGCTAACTTTTCTTCAGACCCTGAAAGCAATTAATTAGTAAGATAATCTGAGCACTTTTGCCCCCCAGAAAGTGCCGTGCCAACACAAGCAAGCAAACACAAGGATTTTTGCACCCTTATGGTACAGACACATTGAGAGGCGAGGAAAACTTATTCTCTCCTCTACAATAAAAGCAGCAGTCGTGCCCTAACAAGCTTTTTTTTTTTTTTTTTGTGAAACACAGACCATGTAATAAAGGCAAACTAATTCTCCTCAACCCTGGAAGTCTGCATACAGATATCTCCAATATACAGCATGACCTCACAGGTCACAAAACTAAAGGAGAACCAGTGTGAGGAATACACAGAGACATAAATATCCCTCATTCAAACTTATCATTTCTTTTAGTAAAGTCACATATACACCAGAACAAAGCCCACACTACATAAGATAAGACAGGCTGAGCCTATAAGCAAGCATAGTATCCTGATAAATACACAGTCAAAAAACATTTTGGAGATGGGGAGGGAAAAACAAACAAACAAACAAACAAAAATGTATCCTTGTTTTTCTCCTCAGAGTTTTTGAAAATTGTAAGCACATAGGGGTATGTATGCATACATCCACACAGTTCAAAAGAATCATGAAAATATTCCTTTGCTGAATATTTCCTAGTGTACTACTGGAAAACCCCTACTGTAGAAGCAGCTCCCATGGCAAGACTTTTGGGCACAGCAGGCACGTCTAGGGATCACTGTGATGTCCGAAACAACACTGTGTCTCTGCCCTCAGGGCAGGATGGCCCAACGTGAAGTGCAATAGCAACTTTCATCTCTACAGCCAGACAATTCTGCCTCCAGGACAGGTCTCTGACTTCATGTCAGATATTTTTATGTTGGCCCCACAGCCAAGCATCTAAAGCCTAGCAAGATTTCCTACCTGGTGTGATGCAGCTCTGACTCCAACCGACAAATTCCAGACCGCACTATGCCTTGAGGTAGGAGCTACAGCCACTCTTTTCTTTGTTGTAATGATTTAACTTCTGTTTCCATCGCAGCTGGGTATGCACAGCTTCGCCTGAAGCAGAAGACCCCAACATTACAAAGATTAGCCATACCGGCAGAGCACAGTGAGCTCAGGTGAAGGGGTGGGTGCTGCTCTGCTTGGGGGCTTCACAACCCCTTGGGCAGACCCACCAGCATACCCACCCTCTGACACCTGCTCAGCCTGCACAGCACCTTCATCTGAGAAGCCCCACAGAGGCCTCAGTGGTAGTCCTACTTTGGAAGCGCGCAGGGAGTGACACTTTGTGTGCTCCCTGCCTGCAGGGTAGGTACTATTTCAGAAGCAGCCATGCTGTACATCATGGTAAGGATTGAAATCTCCTTTCTTCCCAGTATAATGAAGTCCCACCCTGCCACACTAGCACTGAAACTTCTGCTTTTCATGGTGAAGCTCTTCTTGCTTACAACTTGCATTACAGGTTCACCACACCATGGCAACAGAAATTTGAAGGCACTGTTGCAGTGCTTCTCTAAAAACTAGTGAAACTAATCCACAAAAATCTGTAAGATTTATCACACGAATAGACCCTTGCTGGAGCTGAGGACTCATCCAGTAAGGCCTGTATCTTATTTCTGCCAGAAGCCTCCTGTTCTAAAAGTGCATCACAAATAAGAAACTGAATGTTTTTTTCTTTTCCTGTAGAATGGGGGAAGCCCTTCCCTGACATCATGTTGCATTCATTAAAACATTGTATTTTCCATGCACAGCCAAAATTTAATATAATCCTCGGCTAACCAAAATATAAATTTTCTGTACCTGTAATAGATTCTTCCATCTTCATTCTGAATAACTAAAGCTTGACTGTATGTTGATTAAACTTGCACCAACTGAGGCAACTGCATGTGTAACGGCATCTATTCATCCACAAAACTTATTTCTATAAATATATATGTATTTCGATACACTTACACAGCTACATTTAAACTAACAATTAATATCACCTTTAGAGATGAAACACTACACAAAGTAGTTGAAACTATGGTTACTTATGACTGATCTTAGTGCATTGTGTTGCAGTTGTTAACATTTTCCTTGATGATCTGCTGTTTCAAAGCCACAAGGACATTACCTAACTCAATTATAACCCACAGCTGACCTGTGAAGCTATATTAGCTGAACCTACAAAAGAATCAACATTACCACAAAATAACTCTATACACAAGAGTCTCATTTTTATGGTTCACATGTCACGTTCACCAGTCATGGAGAAACCTCTAAAAGGAAGTTTTGACAGACTAAATACAGTATGTAAGATTAATAGAGCAAACAAAGGCAAAATAATGCTTTCTTTCTTATAAGTACAATAGAGAAGTCTATATTTTAGAAAAACTTTATACCGCATCACGGCATACGGTTCTCAGTGTAAACAAACATTTTCCTCCCAGATGTATTTCTTTATCTCAAACCACATGAAGTGCTATATACATTACTGTCATATTGTCTACAAAGATTTCATCAGACAATCTATGTCAGTCTATAATTTATGGAGAAACTGAAATTACTTTGTAAGTATGGTACGTAAACAAGAGAAAAATAATGAAGTATCTTTTTTTTTTCTTTTTCCTTTTTTTTTTTTTTTTTTTTTTAAATTCCTCTTTCTCATACAGTCCTGGGAAGCTGGCAAAAACATAGAGGAAGAAGAAACTAGGGTGTATGTAATTCTGAATGTTTACAATGGCGTTAATTGAATGTGTTATAGTGCACAGCTTTCAGCAATTCAATACCAAAATCATATAACCATACATTCATACCGGAGCAAAAAACTGGTGTAAACTGTAATTGACAAACTAATACTGAAAAAAAGGCTAATGGGTATTGGATCTTTTGAGAACATTTCAAGACAGTACAAAATTGAAGCGACCATGATGACTACTGATTTCAGCAGCAGCTATTTTATAACCAGCTTGAAATTACTGGCTATAAAGACTTTACTACAAAAACACTTACAATTTTTCCCCATCACTAATATACCTTTCCATATGAAAACAGCAGTAGGAGGACTATTTATATAGTGGCAATGTGTCCATCAGATATGAGGTCCAAATCTAGCATCACAACATGAACATGCATACTTCAGTGTGAATACTCAGATGGTCTTCTGCTCCTCATGCCTTGGTGGAGGGGTGGGGCACAAGCATGTGTACAACACTGCTTAGAGAAGCATGTCACAACATCCTCAAGCATTCTCATTAGCCTGAAGTGGTTTATCGTACAGATTTTTAAGAGAAAATTTCAAATCCCACAAATTTGTCTAGGCATATTAAGATGGCACTACAAATCATTGGCCTGGATTTCAGAAGTACTCTTATACACAGCTCTCATGGATTTCATTATGAGCAGTGTCTGTTCACTGCTTGTGAAAATGAGACCACATGAATTTATCACAGCATGACAGAAATTCAACCCACTGTAATCTCGGAAGCCCTTCTGAGGTGCAAAAGGCCAATAAAATAGGCTTAATTTAAACAAATGCTGCAAGACAATTGTTCTGCAGTTCCCTGAGAACAATCCTTTCATCACTGACACTGGAGATATTTCTCAGTGGGAAAAACTCTAAATTATTTTTATTCTTTTCATTGTGTGTTAGCAAGAACTTCAATTTCTAATAGTAAGCTGCCAAAAAAATCTAGATTTAAGGGAGAATTTTATTCGTCATTTCATACATATGAAAGAACAGCTCCAGCACAGCAGAAGAAAACTATGATTTTAGGTATCTTCATAGAATTATTGCAGATGGGACAAAATTATTATTAAGAGATGACTTTAACAGGACAGGGAGTATATTTTAAAAATGGGTTTACTGCAAGACTGAACTTTATGTAAAACAATGTAATACTTAGAGATGTCATCCCTGTGCAATCATTATTGTAAAACTGGAAGCTAAGCATTCACAGCAGAAAAAAAAAAATACAACCCTCCTTAGTCAAAGCTCTTAGTAGGGTAATAAATATTTTGAAAATGATTATATATTTGCCAAAATAGTCTGTTTATTTAAAGTCATTAACGGAGCGCATAGCTGTTCATGGATATTAAGATTTATCTCACCTGATTGTTACACTAGAGACATCCATTTCCGAGCTAATCACCCTAAGTTCTGTTTAAAATTGTTGAGGATAAACAGGCACTTTGTGTGATGTATGTGACCTGATATATGTATACATTCAGACATGTACCTCAGAATGAGATGAACCTTATCTCAGAAATGCTTATTTTTCTCCATTTGCTGTAAAAATGTCCTAGGATGATGAGCTACAGTATCTATAGGTCAGTGGGATGTCACCTGTAAAGGGAATTCAAGTTCAGCAAGGTTATCAAAATCCTAGAGAAGGCTTTCCTCATACCACTGAACCTAGTACTATAGCCTACTGGGCAAGGCTAGTGATTGAGTCAGTATTGGACTAGGCATACAATATGGTATACTTGAAAGCTTAGGGGAGGCAAATGTCTGCTCTCGCTTTTATAAAGCTGAATAACTTAAAAACTTGATGCCACACTGCCATTCAGAAAGTTAGGCAGAGTCCTGTGATATCATGACCATTAGGCAAGGTGATTCAAGTGTATCATAAGGTCCAAGTTGTTCTTGATGTATATGTATGACTAAACCCTGCTTAGATTCTCACTCATTTGTTTCTTAAACTTAATTGATACCTATACTATTGCAGTTCATTGACATTCAGTTCTTAACTGTCTTAACTGTACATTATCAATTGTTTCCATGGTTTGTCAGTTGCATTTATAATATAAGTAGCAACTGTTAATACGACAAGTATTTGAACAATTTTGCTTACTTTTTATGATACACTAGTTTTAATCACTTTGATTACTCCCATCTAAAAAAAAGGGGTTATTAATCGTTTTGTCTGCCAAAAGTTTATTGCAAGGTATACAGGCTTCCTGACAGGTTACTTTTCACTAGGGTGAAAATGGTGAAGAGTCTAGATGGGAAGACATGTGAGGAGCAGCTAAGGTCACTTGGCCTGTTCAGCCTGGAAAATAGGAGGCTGAGGGGAGACCTCATAGTGGTCTATAGCTTCCTCATGAGGGGGAGTGGAGGGGCAGGCACCAATCTCTTCTTTTTAGTGATAGGACCCATGGGAATGGTGTCAAGGTGCAATAGGGGAGGTTCAGGCTGGATATCAGGAAGAGGTTCTTCACTGAGAGGGTTGTTGCACACTGGAACAGGTTTCCCAAGGACATAGACACAGCACCAAGCCTGTTGGAGTTTAAGAAGCATTTGGACTGTGCTCTTAGCAATATGGTCTGAATTTTTGAGTAGACCTGTGTGGCGCTAGAAGTTGGACTCGACAATCCTTGTAGGTTCCTTCCAACTTGAGGTATTCTATGATTCTATGATTCACTCCACTATGAACTTTCACAGAAAGAAAGGTGAAAGCCTTCCCCCCAGACAACCCACGTATGACAAACAACCTGATGCCAAACTATTAACCTAGTCTGAAAGGTTTCAATCAACACATAAAATGGACCATATTCAATTAGTCTGATGGTATTGGTGTTCCCTGTACAAAATTAAAAAAGATAAGGTATTTAGTAAAGACATTCTCAACAGTTATCAAATAATTTACAAGTAACTATCAAACAGTGTAAAGTGCTAATAGATGCTTCAGTTGAATGAACACCCAGTTGAGTTCCAAGTATGATACTTTTTACTCAGCTGTACAAGATGCAGAAGCTGCACTAACCCAAGAGGCAGTGTACTTGAAATAGATGAACCTTAAACTCATGTCTGAAGAGATTCATTTTGCTGGAGTGGCCATAAATGGAGCGATAGTTTTCAGGGCTGCTGAAGCTCTGACACCAGCTGTTATCAGCTTGAACAGGGGAAAGCAAGGACACGAAGCAAATACACTGACCAAGACCCATCACTCAGTGCTTAAGCTATCGAAGCTACACTGAACACGTGTTCAGTATTTTTGATGCTTTCATCAAATGCACAAATAGCAGTAAGGTTACTGTATTCTATTTGTTTTTAAAAGAACTGAAGCAAACAGTTTTCCTTACTGACCCTGATTCCTTATTCAGGGATATAAAATATACAGATATACAACACAAAATTAACATATTATTTTCATTAAATATGACTAGAATGGACTCTTGATTCAGTCTCCAAATCAGGCAACTCATTTATACTGTGGCATAGAATACAGTAGTATACAGAATGAAACAGTATAGTAAACAAGATAAAATAGTCTGGGTAAAACTGCAATGTTGTATTTGTTTGTTTTTCTTAAAAAATAAATCCAAATAATATTAAATAAATGCCAAATGTCATTCTATTTGAAAGAAATTGGTTTATTTATTTGGGAGTTCAAATGGTTCTTTTAGGCTAGATCAATTTTCAAACAAAAATTGATGTTTTAAAATGAGAAGTCAAACATATTACTTTGCATATATGTAAATGGTCACCTTTTCTTCTATCACACACCTTATCTTCACATACCTTTTATCTGAATGTATTTAAAATGCTTTCCTTTTATACGATACATAAGTTACTATATGTTTGAATTGAACATTTAAACTTAGTGTTCTTAAAAAAAAAAAAAATGGAATCAATTTTTCCATTGGGAAAAAACACTTATTTATATTTCACACATGTACTTCACATAGACTCATGGTATTTGCTTAAAACTCCAGAAGTGCTGCCACCAAGTTATATGTTATCAGTGGAAGGAAAAAGCATATAGACGGTTCAAAGTATACTTTTCATTGGTCCAAATAATCTAGAGTAAAAAATATATTCTTACACTGATCCAAGAATATATTTTAAGACACAATTATATTGATTAAAAATGATATAGACTATGTAGAATCAAAATTTACATTTAAATACAGTTAAATCAATGAAATGTGTGACAATGCAAGTTCAGTAATATTCAGAATGAATATCCTGGCTCAATAGTTTAATTAAAGTCACACTTGTGTTGGCTGCTCTTTAATCTTTGTTATTTAACATTTACTGAAATGTCAGCAAAAGGATGATGGAAGACTCACAATAATTAGAAAGATG